CGGGTTGCTGGTGGGGCTCCGGGCGGTATCCTGCGCTCAGTCCTCGGTGACCTGCCCTGTGGCACATGGCGCCCCTGGGTGCATGGTCTCCACTGCACTCCCAGCCTTGGGAGGCTTCCCGTGGGTGGGAATAGCACCTGGAAGATAAAACCCTTCCCCCCACCCTGTGGGAATGGGCGTCAGCGCGTGCGGGAGGAGGGTGCCAAATATGTGTGTGGCAGGAACCAGTGACCTTCGAGGACGTCGCCATCTACCTGAGCCGCATGGAGTGGGACACCATCACAGCAGGGCAGAGGGAGCTCTACTGCAGCGTCATGATGGACAACTACCAGCTCCTGACGTCTCTGGGTAACCCCCCCTGGAACATCTGGGATTGGGGGGGTCCTGCATGCTAGTCCCCATCAGAACAACACTGCTTCCAGCAATTGGAGGCATTGATGGGCATTTTTGGAACTATGCCTGGGATAACTGTGCTGAGCACTACAGTGCTGGGGGATGGTTAGCGCTGGAAGATGTGGACATGGAGCTGTTGGAGCGAGTCCAGAGGAGGCCATGAAGATGCTCCAAGGGCTGGAGCACCTCTGCTATGGAGACAGGCTGAGAGACCTCAGCTTGTTCAGCCTGGAGAAGAGAAGGCCCCAGGGACACCTTAGAGTAGCTTTCAGTGCCTGAAGGGGACAAGAAGAAAGCTGGAGAGGGGCTTTTGACACGGGCAGGCAGGGACAGGACAAGGGGGAATGGCTTTAAACTGACAGAGGGGAGATTTAGATGAGATCTGAGGAAGAAGTTCTTCCCTGTGACGGTGGTGAGGCCCTGGCACAGGTTGACCAGAGAAGCGGTGGCTGCCCCATCCCTGGCAGTGTTCAAGGCCAGGTTGGACGGGGCTTGGAGCAACCTGCTCTAGGGGAAGGTGTCCCTGCCCATGGCAGAGGGTTGGAACTGGATGAGCTTTAAGGTTCCTTCCAACCCAAACCATTCCAGGATTCTGTGAAAGGTGCCAGGTCTGGGGTCCTTTGAGCTGCCATCCCTGGCATTTGATGGTTCTTGCCCAGCGACTCTGTCCCCAATCCCTGGGTGATGAGAGTGCAGCAGGGCAGGGGTAGCACCCACCAGGCTGGGCACAGGGGAGCCAACCCCTCATTGCACAGTGAGGTCCTTTCAGATAACATGCCTGCTGTCACTGGCAGCAGCTCTGGCATCTTGCTTGCTTTTTTCCCCCCCTTTTCATAGAGTTTCTGATTGGGCTTTTCCTGTCACAATGGAGCACAGTGTGACAAGAGAACACCTTTATTTTCTTGTGGTATCAGTTTATTCTGACAGTCTGTGTTAGAACAATGTGCTTTCCTCACCCCCCCAGGTTACCCAGGCCCCAAACCTGACATTTTATACCGGATGGAGCGTGGGGAAGAGCCATGGGTATGCTCACCGCAGAGCCCAGCGAGGTGGGAAGGCCCCAGCTGCCCCTCTCCAGGTGAGCAGGAACAACTCAGGCCCTGTAGCACCACTCCTGCGTGCCGGCAGCAGACAGGGCTTCCTCCTTTGCCCAGCAGCTGCAGCGTGGAGGGGTTCCCCTGCCAGGAAGGTGACATCCATCTGTCTGGTTTCCCTGCAGGATGTGATGGGGCCATGAGCTTGCTGGAAGCGCCTCCCTGGGGCTGGTGGCCTGGTGCTGGTGTGCCAGAGGAGAGGGCACAGTTGCCCTGCCAAGGTGAGTTCTGGTCCCTCCTCTACCTTGCCACCGGGCTCTGGAGCAAGGAGCTGGCAGCGGGATCTGGCTGTGCCTGGTCAGTGCCACTGGTGCTTCTCCAGCCCCATGGGAAGGGCTTGATTCGCCAGTCCAGCCATGCAGAGGCTGGAGAAGCAGAACCTGGGTGGCCCTAAACTGGGGAGGATGGGGGTTTCTTAGCTCCCCGTCCCCTCAGCATGGCCCCCTTCTCCAGAGCCCCAGCCAGGCAAAAGGCCAAGTCCCACCAGCCCTCCCTCAGCAGTAGGACAGTGTCTGCAGCATCATCTCCAGTCTGGAAGCCTCCTGCACAAGCTCAGATGTCTCAAGAGTCGCAGCAAGGTGCAGGTGAAGGCAGCCAGCAGAGGAGTGGTGCCAGTAGAAAGCCAAAACCACGCATGGACTGTTGTCTGGCCCAGGAAGGAAGAAGCAGCAGAGAATAAACCATGGCTGACAACAAACATAGCCCAAGGCAGAGAACTCGCACTTAATCCCAGGACGGAACAGCAGAACTACAAGTCAGATCCTCAGGAGCATCCTTGTGGTGACCTGAAGGAGCGGCGTCAGAGGAGCACCTATGAAAACCAGTGCATGTCAGGAGAAGCACCATTCTTTCTGGGAGACGGGGAACTGCATGCCGGGGATGCAAATGAGGTTGTTTGGAAGGACCACTGCTACTGCGGGGTGAGCGTGATGCAGCTCTGGCACCGCAGCGCCTGGCCTTGTCCTCCTACAGACCACAACTACTGCCGGCCACAGGCACTGGGCAGCACCGCGCTCAAGGACCACGGGTACTGCCGCCTGCAGAGGACTTGTTTTGGGGCCAGGGTTGGTTCTGGGCAGCAAAGCTCGAGCCATGCTGCACAGGTTGGCCACGCGGAGAGCCCAGATCGGGCAGATCATCAGGAAAGCCAAGCGGATTATGTGGCGCTGCAATTCCTACATCAGCAGGAGGCTGGGGGTTCCTCGGGCCTCCTCCAGCACCCGCTGTCCTGCACCTGCTGTCCCTCATGGTAAGGTGGAGCCAGTCCCCATGGAGGGAAGGGGTGGAGCACTTGGTTCTCCTGCAAAACGTGAGGCTGTGTTGCCCCTGTCTCGGCACAGAAGCAGCTCCCGAGAAGCTCTTTGCACCCCTGTGGCGTCTCCTGCCCCGCTGCCTGTGCTCCCACCCTCAGAGGCAGCTGCGGTGGCGAGTAGCAAAGTGCTGCACCCTGAGGTGACCACGCACAGCGAGGAGCAGCCCATCTGCAGCCCTGATGTTAACCACACCACCAGAGGACATGAACCTGCTCACTCGGATCACATACCATTGCATGCCGCCTACAAAACACTGATGCGGACGGTGGACCATGTGTTTGGATCCGTGTGCCACAAGTTCGAGCTTAGCAGCTACGCTCGGCATGCAGACACCTGGCCCTTCATCATCCGCATGGACAGCTGATCTGCACCTTCCTCCCTGCAGCCAAACTCAGCCACAAGTGATCTGGGAGAGGACGTGCCGTGAAACAGACAGAGGAGGGATCAGTGGTGCAGGGCTGTGCAGTACCTGTGGCAGAAAACGGGGACTGTCCTGCGGAAAAGGCCAAGGGAAGGATGTGTGTGGGACAGAGTGAATGGAGACGGGTACCGCGGGTGGTCCAGCAGTGGGGCAGGAAGTTTTCTGCCCACTGGGGTCTTCCCTACCTTGTCAATAAAGTATTTTAAGTTATTGTCCGCTGGTCTTGTCTGTCCATGTGCAGGAGGAATCCCCCGTTGTGTTCATGGTGCTGAGCTTGGCTGCTCCCCTCTGCCTGGCCGCCTGAGCTGCCTGTGTTTAAGTGAATGGAGTGCTAGCACCGCCAAGCCACAGTGAGACTTTCACCTTAGCAACCCAAACCCATAACCACAGAATTGTTCAGGTTGAAGAGGCCTTTAAGCTCATTGAGCTCAACCGTTAACCCAGCAGTGCCAAGGCCACCACTAAACCATGTCCCTCAGCACCACGTCTACACGTCTTTTAAATCCCTGCAGGGATGGTGACTCCAACACTGCCCTGGGCAGCCTGTTCCAGCGCTTCACAACACTTTTGGTGAAGAAATTGTTCCTAATATCCAGTCTAAACCTCCCCTAGTGCAACTTGAGGCCATTTCCTCTTGTCCTATCACTTGTTATTTGGGAGAAGAGACTGACCCCACCTCACTCCATCCTCCTTCCAGGCAGTTGTAGAGCAATAAAGTCCCCCCTGAGCCTCTGTTCCCCAAACTAAACCCCCAGCTCCCGCAGCCGCTCCTCGCAGTGCCGGGATGCGGTGGCTTTGCTGCCCTGTCCGCCGGGGGCCATAGCCTGGAAGAAACTCGTGCCCCGCGGGCACCGGGTCACCTTTGGTCTGCGGGGCCGTGCCCTCCTCACCGCAGCGGGCCCGGAGCCGCCCAATGGCAGCTC